TGCCTTGTTGACTGCGCTTTATAAATAAAATTGGATTGGATTGGATCCTCATAATGACTTTTTATAAGTCTGCTTTCTTTTCTCGTTTTTTACCCGGATAAGTTAGACCTGTGACTCCGTCTTTAAAAATAGTTTAGCTGAAACAGGCTTTTATTAAAAATCGACCTGATGTCTTCCTTTCATTTATCCCTACTGACATGACTCGGTTTGACTTGCAGCTGTTTGGTTGGATTTTTATTTATTTATTTATTTATTTATATTTATTTAATTTATTCAAAATATGAATCAAAACACAAACTAGCAGAAAACATGATTTCTTTTCAAGTTCCTCTACCACACTTAAAGCTTGGTAGACATAGAGCTAAATGGACCACATACACCTGAAGGAATCTCTTTAGTTTCGTCTTTTAACAAATATTTTGAAAGTTTTTTTTGTTTGTTTGTTTGTTTTTTATTAAAGCATGCATCACCAGCAAATGTCTTAGTAAATGCCTGCTTTGTTTTTATGTGGGCCCTTTGCTTACAGTGCATCCACGAAGGAGCTGCTTCCCGTGGAAGATTTGCCTTCTCGCCTTCCAGAGTCTGGTGGAGAGGTGATAGCACACAGCTGGTCTAAAGGAAGTTTCATTCATCTGTCTCTCACTGCTATCGTCCAGCTTTATCTGTCCCTGGCTGCCAACATGTTTATCATGAAATGTATTCTCTGTCTCAGGCCCGCTGCCTTTCTAACTCTGACCTGGATGTTGGACAGTAGTGCATTAAATAATCCAAGATATGTCTAAAAAATTCCTAAAAAGCTGATGTACTATGTTGTTTAAAAGCATAATGATGTATTAATAAAAATTTCTGCTCAGTTCATTTATTGTGTTCTTGAAAAACTGTTACAACTTCAAAGCAACAAGATTTTCTATTTCTTAATATAATGTTCTTGATAAATTATCCAATCTAATGGTAATTATTTTTTAACAAAAAAATTATGCAACAGAGAAATACATATTTCATTAATCTGCACACACAAACATCGTAATGCAACATTATTAATGTCATTAAAATAATAACATTTGTTATAATTACCTTAATCTTTCTAACCTGACAGCTCTCTCTGTCTGCAGTCTCAAAGCTTAATTCAAATCCTCCCACACAAATGGGATCAATACTTCCCAACATGGGATTAAATTCTGATTTGTTACTGTAAAATAGTTTGCATTGACAGGCAGCCGAGACTCAAAGAAGCAGCAGAAGCAGATTAATTAGTCTCCTTATCACTCTGTTTATTATCTGATGTCTGCACGGCTCTGATCGATACAATATTGGCTAAAATTCAATTCAATTCAATTCAATTCAATTCAATAATACTTTATTAATCCCAGAGGGAAATTAAAGAGTTTCAGTACACACAATTCTGAGATCAAACATACATACATGCATATATGACAAGAATAGGTGACTGTGGACATTCGCAACCCGAGTCGCGCTACCGTAATAGATCAAAAGGGTTTATATGAGGATAGAGTCGGGGGAGGGGAAAAAAGGCACTTCAGAGTTACTCTCACCTGAGAGGGTAGCTTTGCTATGCAAAAAAAACACCTCAGACAGATATGCACACACTTCAGACATTACACAACATAAGTGTCCACTAGGTGGGGAGGTAGGGTTCAGACTCTCCTCACTTCGGTGCGTGCAGCCACATGGAGCAGCGCTTATCATCTCTGTTTGGACAGGGGAGGGAGATTAATGGGTTGGAGAGCACGGTGACTCCTAAACCCTTTCCAGACTGACATTCTGGAATATGTGTGGACAATCCAGTCCGGGTTTTAACCAGAACTGTGTTTTCAGACACACCACTTTTGTACCGGAACTTGCCTTCAGATGGGAATCTTTTCTTTAGTGATTTAACTACATCTGCGATGTGCGTAGAATAAAGTGTCAGTTCGTCTGCATGCGTCGGGGTAATTCTTTCTATTCTTTCTCCGTCAAAATAAACGGTCAAATACGGGAACTGTCCTTTCAACACAAGCCCTGCTTTTAACTGTTCTGTTTTCTTGTGAAAATAGATAAAATTAAACTTTATTAACACCAGAGCCAGGCGCACCGCGCTGTTATCTCCGTCGCTGTAAATGAGGGAAAAACAAAGTGATCGGATCCTTTTCTGACCTTCTCCACATACAAAGTTTAATTACAACAATCAAACTTGACAGAGCCTGGATTTGTATTCTGAACAGTCTAAACATGTTTTAAAAAGAAACGTATGACAAAAGTGGCACCTGCTCAGTAAAACCACCAACAGGGTGAAAAATATCAAAATACTGTAGGCAGAGACGGGCTACAACTTCTGGATCCACTTTATATAAATCGTTTTATTGATTATCATCTTATGAAAGACAGCTTTGACGTACACGAGTGACCGGTACTGGCTGCTGTCACCTGTTGTGATTGGTTAAAGCAGCGCTCTGCTGCCTGAGGGTAGGCCCCACCCACAACGCTGCGGCTGTTGTGGCTCCCAGTGTTTTCTTTACTGTGGGAAACGGGTAATAATGGCTCTTTGATGGGAACAGGTTGCGACCACTGGTTTAAGTGTTTCAATTTTTTTTAATGAATTCGATTAAAAATAAAGGCACCCGGCCCGGCCCGTGTCCAAGGTAATTACACAGTCGTTGGCCCGAAGCCCGGCCCGTGGGCCGTCGGGCCGGGCCGACCCGAGGGCCTAGGGCGTCAGTGCAGGGCTCTAAGACAGAGATAATTTCCTCTCTGCCTTACAGTTCTGTTGGTCATCAACCCCTCTTAATCCAATAATGGCGGAATTAATCTATCCCAATCCGTGCTGATCCGTCCACAACTCTGCCCTCGATGGAATCCACCTTCTGTGCCAGAGCCTGAATCTCAGCCAAAGTTCCAAGCTTACGACTCATCTCGACAATTATATGAGTTTGTGTGTTCACAGCGCGAAGCATTCCATCCTTGAGTTCATCGTCAAACTTGTCATTAGGTTTAACAGATGAAACTTGGTGAATATCAGGTGTGCCTGAAAAAACTGATTTACGTTTGAATCGTGATTCTTATTTATAAAGATTCAGAATCTGTCAAACCTGTCTGAAAGCTTTTTACTGCACCATGCATAAATTATGCTTGTTAAGACTAATTATTGCCTGTTAGTCTTCATGTTCAATAATAAATGTTACTGGTTTATGTGAATACATGCTACTGGATGTTATAAAACCTGTTTATTAGGCGTTTGATAGCGTATTAGCTATATTGGGTGTTTTTCTCTCTCTCCAAACCCAACTAGAGTCAAATTCTTAATTATCGTGCCATACCATATATCTGAATTCGTTAAAAATTATAATAAATGTGTTTTTTAGTTGAGTGAACACCTTCTTTAGCAGAGATAAAAGCACTGGGGGCGATTGGAGACCCATCCAAGACGGCAACTTAGTCCACGTCGCGTCTATGAATATGATGTCAGAATCAGAAGGGTTTTATTGCCATATGTGCGAGAAATCGAAAACTGCAATATTTGAAAATTGCTGCGGTACTTGAGGCAAATAAAGGTAAATGATAAGTAAAATTGAAATTAAGAAATAAACCCAATAATAATATAGGGAGGCAATAATTAGAGAAGCTGCTACTTTAAACTAGTCAGTGTAGGTACTGGTCAGAGTGGATCAGTTCAGGTGCAAACACAACACAGGGTCATGTGACTGACACAAAGCAGGAGTGGGCAGGTCTACGATAGACATTTATGCGTCCGACCGCAGAGGAGAAGAAACTATTTTTGTGGTGAGAAGTTCTGATCCAAATGAATCGGAGTCAGATGGGTCTGCTGTGATCCGACCTGCACGCCCCAGTGTCCTGGAGGTGTACAGGTCCTGTATAGGGGGGAGTTTGCAGCCAATGACCTTCTCAGCAGAGCGTACGGCATGCTGCAGTCTTTTCATGTCCCTGATGGTAGCTCTAGCATATGACACGATGATTCAAGAGATAAGGATGGAGTTTGTGGTGCAGATAGCTACTGGTGTTCTGCAGATAGAATTAGCCAGCTGGCCATGGTGCTGTGCGGCCCCTCTGTCACGGGAACACACATCACAGCCACATAATGAGGATGTAAACAATTTGCAATATGTGGACTCCACTATTTTTAAATATAGTCATAATATTAACTTGTTTTTTTATCAATGCACGTCCTAAACAAGTGGTGTTTTTGGCAGATAAACTAAAGAAATGGCACAAATACAGAAATAAATAAATAAATACCTAAAAAATAATAATAATTAGGAAAACCTTGGACGTATTATCCCTTTTTCTTCTTATTTTATAGCTTTGCTGAAGTATCTCATCGGGATTCGGTATCAGCAGAGACTCAAAATCAAAGGACTCAGAATCAGATTGGGGGCAAAAAATGTGATCGGAACATCGGAAGTGTCTTTTGTCCAAACCCTAAGGACACCTAATAGTTAACAATAACGACAAAGAAAATAAAGGGATCCTTTGTTTATTAATGCATAATAAAGGGACACTTATTGTTAATTGTTACCTAAACAACAAGCAGTAGCTCAGGTGGTAGAGCGGGTTGCCTCATGATCGGAGGGTCATGGGTTCGATTCCAGCTCCCACCAGGGGTATCCTGCTGTTGTGTCCTTGGGCAAGACACTTCACCCAACTAACCTGTGTTAGTGGTGGTCAGAGGGGCCGACGGCACCAAATGGCACCCTCGCCTCTGTCAGACCTCCCCAGGGCGGCTGTGGCTACAAGTAGCTTACCATCACTAGCAGTGTGTGAATGTGAGAGTGTGTGAAAGCGTCTTTGGGTGTCTAGAAAAGCGCTATGTAAGTTCAATGCATTATTATTATTAAATCAGTGTACGGTTTTCTAAAAAATGTATTTCATGCAGATTGTACAAAAGACAAATGGAATATGATCATTTTTACCTATTTGGTGTGAGGCAGTCATTTTGACTGCCAGTGATTTTCTCACTGGTTTCCCAGGGCAAGATGAAAATAGTACATAAACATTGGGAAATTTTAAAGTCAAAGAGCATCTCCAGCCTTTGATCAGTCTTCTTCTTTCTCATGATTTTTACTTTTTGTCCTTTTCAACTAAAATATAAGGAAGAGACAAAACAGCATAGAGGCATAAAGGGCATTTGACTGTAGAAATGGAAAGACTGATAACATGGACCGTTATGATTCTGAAACTGTCTATCTAGATTTTATTTTTTTGGGTTACAAAACATTTTGCTGATTAAACTAAATATTATTCAATTTCATAAATGTGCAAGGTGAATTAATTAACCTTTAAATGCAGTAGTGAAACTGACAGCTCAAGGCCATGCTAGTAGTGGCAATATGGTGGCATTTCTAGTGTTAAATAGTCTCAGTCTAAGCTGAATTACTGAAATAAATGGACTTTGCACCATATTCTAATTTTTGGAGTTTCAGGTCGTATAAAAGGTCTTTACCGAAAGTCTGTTAGTGGGGATCAAAGGGCTCATGGACCAAAGAGACACACACTGGAGACAGAATCAGCAATAGTTCACTTCACCTGCATTCCCATCATGCTTTGCCCATTTCCCTCTAACCAGTGATGCATCATAGCATCAGAGCCATTTCCACCAGCAGAGCTGCATTACATGACCGATGATCTGGACCTAAATGGTATTTTATCGCTTATTTGTCCTTTTATTCTCACAGTGCACTCAATTTATTTATTTATTTTCTAAATGGGATCACAAGACATCTCCAGGTCAATGATCCAGGATCAGCTTTCAGATGCAGAGAAATCAAGACCAGTAATTCCTGATTCCATTCAGGAAGGGCACTGGAAACTGGAGCCCGGGGGTTGTCACTGGCTGCTGGGAAGCACTGGGCCAGTCTAAACTGATGGACTGACTCCATCATCGTGTTACACGCTGCGTAACTGGGAGTTCATTTTGTGGCAGTGCCCTCTGAAACACACTGCGTGTCTAAGTTTCAGCACAGGAATCAGGTGAAGGGTTGGCGTCTTCCACGTGTCAACAAGCAGGAAGACTGGCTGTTGTACAGAGTATCCTTGAGGTCATGATCAGAAATATTACAAATATAAAGTTTTAGCTCAAAATATAACATTCCCTACAAAAAAGAAATACTGTATCGCATAGGAGAAGATTTAGACGAAACATGAGATTTTTGCTGACAGATTAAGAGTAATTTTCAGATGAAGTGAACTGCTTTGTTTTACCTCGAAGAGCTCATCTGCCGTGTTGTAGTGGACCGAGGCTGGTGACCCATCTGCCGGCTGATCGGTGCACCACTGCAGCTCGCTGAGACAGTTGACACTATCGAAGTCGCTGGTGTCCAGCTGGGAGAGGTCGATGTCCGGGAAATCAGTGTCCAAGCGGTCCGAACACACCTCCTCCTCCCCATACTGCAGCGGGAAACACAGAGGGAACGTTCATGTTGGTTTAACATCGTAAGTGAAGCACAACTCCCCGTCGTTCAGATCTTATGAGATGCTAAAAAGTGCTGCACTAAAAAGCCAGTCACTTTGTAAATTGTGAAGCCAAAATAAAATGTGATGCTGCTGATCACAGCTGGATAGATCTCCAGTGAAGTGTGAACAGTCTCACTGGTGTATAACCCCTTTGCTCTTTTGTTTTATAACAAGGGGAATGCGATTTTCTCTGTAACCGTTGTTTCTTCAGACGAACAGCCGTACGTGGGGACTAATGCTGCTCCCGCCGTGAGACTGTTGTGGTTGGTGCTTTCTGTGAAGTTTGTCACTATGTGCCATTGTCAGAATTAGAGGTTTAGCTAGTTTCCCTTGGGCTACCCTTTTTACAAATATGTATGCAGTTGAAGAACGGCACTTTGGTTAAAAGCCCCCATCGTGTGGTGTACTGTATATTATTACACTGTTCAGTGCCTGAGTCAGAGGAAGCTCTCATCAGCCACTCATTAGAGTTAATGAGACTTTCACGTTAGAGGAGATTCAACTGAAACCCGTGGAGGCATCGCATCATCGTCCAGAAACCGTGTCACAAACACCAGCGCTCACTGCTGAGGTGTTTCCCTGCTTTTGTTCTGTAAATCTCCCAGCGGCTCAGAGTCAAGTGACCCAAGAGGTCTTCAGGTGATTAGTATTCTTTTGTGGGCTGATGGGATGTTTATCAGCTGTGCTGCTTTTAATTTGCTCACTCTTAAGCCACAGTGGTGCACTGCTGATCTTGCTTTTGTTTGTGTTCTAGTTAGTAACTAAAATCTGCCAAAGTCGTTTGAACTTTGCACAGAGCTTTGCGCCGTGTTCTCAAGACACAAGACAGACACGACTGAATCTGAAACAAAGGAATTGCATCTCACAAAAATAAAAAGATGACCAAATGTTTACAACATTTAATAGAAAATACAACACAAGTGAAAGGAATAACAAAAGAAGCTGTGCAAAAACCCAACATCTTTGTTGGGACTTTTTAGACTGACTGAAAAGCTCTAAAGTCAATACCCCACAAATAAGTGTCCTGTTTATGCCTCATCTGATTCAGTTATGTTTCCTACAAATTTATCAGATTTCTTTGCACTTTCTGACTCAAAGAAACTAAACTGACACGAGTTCCAGATGGAACTATTCTATTCTATTCGAACTGTTCTTGTAAAAAATAGCAAAAGTTGCCTTGAAAATGTTTATAACGCGTTCAAAATCCAAACAACACCTTTCCTTGTGAAGCCCCCCGACATCTTAGCTTTGAAACTGAAATAAGGTTTCAGTCTCTGTTAAAAGCATCACATAGAAAAAGAAATGGTCTTCCATAAAAACAATTGAACTTCAGATAAAACCAAAATCATTTAAGTCCTTCCCGAGAGTGTTTGTTAAAGATCTCCAGACCATACTAATAGAAACAGAAGATTCCCAAAGCCCCTTTAAACGCACTCAAGAATTCCTGAAATCTCTGTTATGTCCAGTTATCCATGAACCTGTTTCAGAACCTTCTAAACATTCTTTTGAGAACTCTCCCAAAATAACTGACAGCTTTTTTTAAACTGTTCCCTTGAAGCATCAGCCCCGCTCTCATGCCATTGTTATGTGACAGATCATGTGTGTTTCACTCTGAAGCCTGGTGAGAGACACACACATCACACGGACACAACGTTTAACACAAATATTCTGAGTGTTTTAGGATTTCCTGATTAATCAGATTGTTTGAAGATGAGAAAGGTTAAAAACCCAAGCAGCTCATTGCAATAAACACTAAAGTTGTTTAGAATTCTCTCAAGTAGAGACTCAACTAAACATTCCCTCCAGCAAACCTCTAAAACACGCTCATTAACGTTTAAACCCATATTAAAGTCAAGCAGCAGCAGCCATGTGGTCTGCCTGTAACACACACACACACACACACACACACACACACACACACACACACACACACACACACACACGGCTTCACGCAGAAAGTTTTTTGCCACGTCACGGTGAGAACGGCGTAAAGACAAGCAGGAAGTGTGTGTACGTGACTCGCTGCGAGGGAACCAACTGTTGTCTCTTGGGGGAAAGGAAAATGAGGAGGAGGTTTGTGCTGGAGGAGTAAATAAGAGGGAGGGGACAACGTTTACCAGCAGAGAGCAGTTCAACTGGTTTTATTGTGATTATGACAGTGAAAAGTTACGTAGTCTCCGAACATGCAACAGCACGTCTGAGACGTACACGTAGACATCAGCGTCCTATTGTGTGTTCAATAAGGAAACATGCTGGGCTGGCAGCTCATGTAGCGCCCTTAAGTCAACGTTTCTTCTCCTTTCTTTTCTGCTCGCTGGGGAGGCAGACGGGTTTACCTGTTAAACCGCTTCTCAAGCTGAACCAATCAGAACCATGCTGTCTCACCTAAACCTCAACGGGCATATCTTTAGAAACTTGACTTTAAATGATGCACATGATCACAATTTAAACATATTATTTAAAACATGCTTTCAATTAGTGGCAAGATGCAAGAGTTCTTCTTGGGATAATATTGATTATGGGATGTATGTCATTTTACAAAATAGTTTCATTTTTGGCCAGATCCTGTGGAATACCAATGATGTAACGGTGAATATATTGTGATAATGGTGCAACTGCTTTGCAAATTTTCACGCCACATAACCGTGCTTGAATTTGTTTGCACAATTGGGTTGCCAAGCCCGCTTGTACTTTTAAACATTTTCTTAACTGAGAAGAGTTTGCAATGACTTCAAGAGAAAATGTGTCTTATAAGAATGAAAATATCCAGCCTCTGTACCACAAGACAAACATTTGAGAATCCTTACAAACATTTTAGGACATCCTGGGCAACTCCTTCACAAATGTCAGTTTGAGAGAATAACATGGGCTACTTTTACCAAACATAAATGCTGTTGAAATCTGGGAAAACATGGCATCGGAAGTGTGATCACAGCTAGCAGCTCTCTTCTTTTCAATCACACATAATCAAAATGAAACATTTAAAAAAAACCAATAACTTTCATTTAGATTGCCCAAACATGACTAATAAACAACCTCTACACATTTGTGATACATTATCATTGTTCTAAGATAATTAATTTACTTCTCTTGTAAAAATCAGCACATGATTATCAGTCTCCTGCTTCTCCTACCCTTTTGTATGAAACGGTTTTTAAGTTGAAGCTCATCTTTATACAATAAGCTGCTCTTTTAATTATATTCTATTATAGGTACTAATCAGTTGAAGAAGAAGAAAATATCATTTCTATAGCGCCTCTCAAGATAAAAATCATGAGGTGCTTCACAAAAAATAAAAAATGAAAAAATATAAAAAAGAATTTAGAAAATGGTTAAAAATATATTTTAAATGAGCAAGAACTAGACAACTGTGATTAAAAATAATGATAAGAGAGAGAGTAAATAGGAAAGAGGGAAATCAGTGGATCCTGAGGAAGGTAGAATAGGTGGGGAGAGCAGAATGAAGAGAGAGTGGTGAAGAAGGTCATACAAAACCAGCTTGAACAAGTGAGTCTTCAGCTGCTTTTTGAAGGAGACCACTGAGTCCACTGATCTCAGGCTCAGGGGGAGAGAGGTCCAGAGTCTGGGGGCCACAGCAGCAAATGATCTGTCACCTTTGGTCTTTAGCCTGGTGCTGCACAACCAGTAGGCTTTGATCACTGGACCTCAGGAACCTGCTGGGGTGTAGGGACTAAGAAGATCACCAATGTAAGATGGCGCTTGTCCATGTAAGGCCCTATAGACCAGAACCAGGATCTTGAAATGAACCCTGAAGTTGACTGGCAGTCAGTGAAGCTGGAGGAGAAGCGGGGTGATGTGGGTGTGTTTGGAGGACTTGGTCAGAAGCCGAGCACAGGCATTCTGAACCACCTGTAGACGGTTCAGGGAGGCTCTGCTCAGACACGTGAAAAGAGAGTTACAGTAGTCTAAGCGTGAGGAGATGAAGGTGTGGAGAACAGTCTCAAGTTCAGAGCGGGACAGAATGGGACTCAGCTTAGCAATGTTCCTGAAATGGAAGAAGGAAGAGCGAACAAGAGAACTGACATGAGAATCCAGGGTGAGAGCTGGGTCAAAGGTCACGCCAAGATTCCTGACAGAAGGTTTGGTGTGAGAAGCAAGCTGACCAAGAGAGTCTCTGACTTTGGGAACCAGCTTGTCTGGGGCACAGATGAGGATCTCAGTCTTATCTTCATTCAGCTGTAGAAAGCTCCCAGCCATCCAGGTTTTGATAGTCTAAGCAGGTGTGTAACTGCTGCAGCTTAGACATAAATGGTAAATAAATGGTAAACGGCCTGTTTTTGATATAGCAGCTTCTAGAGTCCTGGAACCCCCCAAGATGCTTTACAACAAAATCAGTCATTCAACTATTCACACACACATTCACACACACTGGTGGGGATGAGCTACAATGTAGCCACAGCTGCCCTGGGGCGCACTGACAGAGGCGAGGCTGCCGAGCACTGGTGCCAATGGTCCCTCCGACCACCACCAGCAGGCAACGTGGGTTAAGTGTCTTGCCCAAGGACACAACGACAGTGACAGAATGAGCGGGGCTCAAACCCGCAACCTTCCGATTACGGGGCGAGCACTTACCTCCTGTGCCACCATCGCCCTTCATGGGGCTTAAAGGAGATGTACAGTTGGATGTCATCTGCATAAAGATGATAGGAGATTCCTTTGAAGGAGCTCAGGATGTGCTGAAGAGGGAGCAGATAGAGGAGGAAGAGCAGAGGCTCCTCGGTGCATCATGGGCGATCGTGAACGAACAGAAGGACAAAAGAGTCTGGTGATCATAGGAGATGGTAGCAGGGACACTACTGAAGAGGATTGCAGACAAGAGCAAGGTGGAAAAGACGAGGTTATTGGAGAAACGTTTGAAAAAGTGGCTGGTGACTGCGGCTAAGCCAAGCACAGTCACAGTCACAGATGCATTA